CAAGGTGTGGGCAGGTGTGGTTTCTCCTGAGGCCTCTCTTTGGCTGGCAGTTGGCTCTTCTCTCTGCCTTTTTTCTGTGCACGTGCATTCGCTGCATCTCTTCCTTTTTGGGAGAGGGGTACTGGGGATTAGGAGCCACATCCCTAGCCTTTTTTATGTTTTTATTTAGAGACAAAGTCTTGCTGGGTTGCTTAGGGCTTCATTAAGTTGCTGAGGCTGGCTCTGAACTCACAATCCTCCTGCCTCAGCCTCCTACTGGGATTATAGGCGTGCACCACTGTACCCGCTTCTTATAAGGACATAATCTTATTGGATCAGGGTCTGACCTAGTTTTAACTTAATTACCTCTTTAAAGACACACACTATCTAAGGTGTTAAGACTTTGCATTTTGGTGGAACATAACAGCATCTCTAATCAATTTCTGAAGGGCATGGGATCAAGGTGTGAGAAAAGGAAAATGTATTGTGAAAAACATTTCATGGAGGCTGGGGCTATAGCTCAGTGGCAGAGCACTTGCCTAGCTTGTGTGAGGCACTGGGTTCAATCTTCAGCACCACATAAAAATAAGTAAATAAAATAAAAGGCATGCTGTCTGTGTACAACTATGAAAAGAATTTTAAAAAGAAAAAAATTCATGGGACGATTCTAGGCTCTTCTTTTGGTCAAAAACATAATTCTCAAATTCCACATTTCAAGAGTCATTTACTGTACTGCAGAATTTTATTTTCAAACTCCATTTCTAATGGGGTACTACACAGGCTGGGAAATCTTAGATTTAAAAGCTGTCCACTAATAGTAGATTTCTCTCTCTCTCTCTCTCTCTCTCTCTCTCTCTCTCTCTCCCAGATATTGAACTCAGGGGAACTTAACCCCTGAGCCACATTCCCAGCCCTTTTATTGTATTTTATTTTGAGACAGGATCTCACGGAGTTGCTTAGCATCTCACTAAGTTGCTGAGGCTGGCTTTGAACTTGTGATCCTCTTTCCTCAGCCTCCTGTACTCAGCTATCTTTTTTTTTTTTTTTAATCTGAGTTTAAAGTGAGGAAAATCCTTAGAAACCAAAAACAAGGAACTGAAATTCAGACAGCATGAGAGTTGGCCCACAGACCCCAGACTGTAGCATAATGCTTCATGCTCAGAAGCCAAACCCTGGGGGAGACATGGCAGAGGGGACCCTCCCCAGCAACACAGTGGAATGGCAAGGAAGGGTCCCCGCAGCCTTGGGTGTCAGCATGGGCTCTGAGTGGAAGCACAAATCTCCTTGAGAATTGGTAAATGAGGCTGGCTTCTATGAGTGGGGTTCAGATTACACTGTCTGGTCTGGCTGTTCCATCCTAAGAAATCCTTGGTAAGGACTTTCAGGCACCTTCCTCTTGATCTAGTAGATCACAAGCAGCATTTCTTGAAAGAATTGCTGTCTACACCACGGGCCCCATAAGATCTTCCTGACAGGCCCGGTGAAGACAAGTGTGTGATCCACAGTCGCCTGCATGAGAGCAAGAAGGAGCAGACAGAAACCAACAGGAGGACTGACTCCTAGGGCCCCAGGTGACAAAATATCTGCCTATACAACTCTAAGTGCACATACATGTGTGCCCAAATGGTTAAGTTTATTATAATGGGAAACATGAGAAAAGAAGCAGAGCCTATCAAGTAAAGACCTGATGAGTTGGAGACCACAAGTCATAAGCTCTCGCAGTCAGACGCAAAATGATTAGAAATGAATTCCTAAGATAAAAAGCGGATCACTGAACAGGATCCTATTTCTTTCTTTCCAAAGTAGAATGCCCCCGCTCCATGAAAGAAGTGGTGGGGCACAGGGAGATTGTAGTTCCAATCCCAGACCAGCATGGGCACTGTTTAAACACAACCATTTATTTTACTTGATGCCTGTTTTGCCCTCATCTGAGGGACAGCTGCTAGGATACCATTGTCCCTGAGAAGCAAGCGTCATCGTCTTCCTGAAGTCTGAGAAATTGTAGACTAATCAACTTGGAGCATGTGAGGCTGAGGTGACTTCACAGTCTCTTCCTGTTCATCAGCATTATCAACTTGCCCTGGACTTTTGTGAACCAGCAACGTCCACCCAGATTTGGGACCCCGGAGGAGCTGTAGTGACAAATGGATGGTACTGTGGGATGTGGCTGCTTCGTGGCCAAAGACCCAGTAGCTGCCCTGAGTAGGGCAAGGGTGGGACTCCCTGAGGCCTGCATCAAGAACCTGGGGTAAATGCAAAAAAAAAAAAACACTCCCCTCCTTCCGAATTGAGAATTGGTAAAGGAGGCCCGTGGTGTAGATTGCTGTTCCCTCCTTTGAATGTCTCCATCTTGGAGTTTTCTCCCCTTTATGCAGATTAAGCAACCACCGTCCATGTAAAATAACAACTGTGCTTTAAAGGAAACAAGAAAATAGTTTATCCTAAGCCAAACAGGAGTGGCTGTGGTCTGGGAAGTGGCACTACATGACATACTCCACCATGCAACTTTTACAGCCACAAAACAAGGGAAGTCCTAATCAATACATTTAGCAAACATTTGGCGGGTCATCAGGTAGGCTGGCTATAGCAGAGGGAGAAAAATCTTTCCTGTAGGTTTAGCCATTACCTTAAACATGCTTAGCTTGGTAGATGCTTATAGGTCTGCAAAGTTTAGTGGTTTATTCTGAGTTTTATTTGAAGTTATAATGGCAGATATAGGAGTTGAAATTAAGTGGCTACTAAAGAGCCTAAGAAATACCAAGATGCCTGGGATCCCGATCTGAAATCTTCCATCTCTCCACAATCGCAGTCCTCTTGCTCAGCCAGTCAAGCAGTCTGCAAGATCTTCTATATGGGTGCAGCTTCTTCAAAGAACCTCAGCTCCACACCACCATGTGAGGTCATCTTTTTGGATATATGGCTAGTATTTCCAAACTCTATTCCATGGGACACTGTGGTGCTAAAAGATGATAACAGCATTACTGCAAAACCAAAAATAGATCAAAACAAAAACTGAGTCAAATGCATCTGGGGCCAGGCATACCAGTAATCCTAGCAACCTGGTAGGCTGAGGCAGGAGGATCACAAGTATGAGGCCTGCCTGGACAATTTACTGAGATCCTGTCTCAAAATTTTAAAAAGGCAGGAGACTGAAATGAGGAAACTATGTTTTATGCATTTATGAATATGTCAAAATGAACCCCACTATTATGTATAACTATTATGCACTAATAAAAAATAAACACTTCTAGATAAAGAAAAAAAAAACTAAAAAAGGGTTCGGGATGTTGCTCAATGTAAAGCTCCCCTGGGTTCAATCCCCATTGCGTCCATGCACACACACACACACACACACACACACATACACACAGAAAAAAAAGAAAAAGAAACATCTGGGGGAGACTGCATGCATGCTCCATGCCCCTCATAAAGCTTCATGATGCACATTAGCATGCTAAAGGGCCCCAAAATCTCTCTAGAAGAAGCCCATTTGCTTTTGTTTAACCTAGTATTTCCTACACCCATTAGATCCTGGTGTCCCATGTCCCACTCTCGTCCTCCTTGTAAGATAGTATTAAGATGTTAGTGTTTGGCAAATGTGAATCAAACTACTATGAAATAGCACATCACACCCACTAGGACAGCTATAATTAAATAGACAATGACAAGCATGGACACATGTGCAGAAATCCTCACACCAGTGAGAATGGAAAATGGCGCACAACTGAAAAGCAATCCTGGTTCCTCACCAGTGTAATGCAGAGTCAATATGTGACCCAGCCATTCATTCCTAGGTACAAACCTAAGAAAATGAAAATATGTACACAGAAAAAGTCACCTAAATGTGTTCAAAGCTTATTATCCATAACAGCTGAAAAGTGGAAACAACCCATATATCCACCATGTGATGAACAGAGGAATGGAGCGCAGTGATTCTGTGTGATGGAGTGTTTTGTCCTTGAGAAGGATCGAGCCCTCACACTGCAGCACAGGCGAACCTGAACACGTGCTGTCTGAAAGGAGGCAGCCACCCAAACCCATGTGTTTTATGATTCCATTTCTATTCCAAGTGTCCAGAAGAGACCAGCCCAAGTAACTGTTGTAACTGGCTGCTGGGGGACAGGTGAACAGGGAACAACTGTTTGTGGGTATGGGATTTTCTGCTTGGGTGACAGAAATTTATTGTAGTGATGGTTGCATAACTTTGAATATACTCAAACCACTGTATTATATAATTTACATGGGTGAATTGTACATAAATTAGATCTTGATGAAGCTTTTGGTGGGGGAGATTGAACCCAAGGGCACTTAACCACAGAGCCATATCCCTAACCATTTTTTATGTTTTATTTAGAGACAGAGTCTCACTAAGTTGCTTAGGGCCTTTCCGAGTTCCTGAGGCTGGCTTGAACTCACAATCCTCCTGCCTCAGCTTCCCGAGCTGCTGGATTACACGCGTGTGCCACCATACCCAACTGCAATGAGGCTGTTTTTCTAAAAACAGAATGAACATCTACCAATAGGAGGGTTTCACAGCACAGCCTGGGAAGGGCTGCTCTGGACATCTTTGCCACTCCCGACTAGGCTCTGTGACTAACACAGTAGCTGTTCTGTGTCACCTGTAACTATGTCACCTATCAAAAGCATCACTGGTATTTGAGAAAATAATGTTCACAGGGTAGGGCAGGGTTTAGGGAGCCCCTGTATCAAGAAGATATGCAGAACTAAGCAGCCACTGCTCCGCATGCTTCACATTTTGGTTATGTGACTGTTCTTATAAAATACGTGAGAGGTAACAAAAAAGGGACCCCAGAGTCTTGGAAAGTTTCTAACATCTGATAATGATAAGAGATAGCATTGCACAGGTAACACATTGAATCTCCTCCAAACCACACTACCCCCTACCCCCAGTTAATGATTGTCACTGCCAGTGTCTCCAAACTGACTTGTGGCCTCTGGGCAAAACTCTGAGGCAGTTCCCCGTCTATACTAATCATACTTGCCCTTGGTTTTCATTTCAGTGAAAGCTGGTGGAATGCGGATTGTGCAGAAACACCCACATGCTGGAGACACCAAGGAAGAAAAAGACAAGGATGACCAGGAATGGGAAAGTCCCAGGTGAGAGACGTCTGGTGACTCTTAACAAACTTTGCAAATAACGATCGTTCGGTTAAACATTAATGTTTGTCCTTCCTCTGTTCTGATAATTCCTGGGCAGCTGGACCTGGGCTGTGTATTCTTACTTTCCCTGTCAATGAGGTAGAGTTCTGTGTCACTTGGGCAGGAGACAGGGCATGTAAAGTACACCGTTTTCTCTGTCGACAACCCACAAGCCCAGGCAGGTGCAGGGACTGCACTGGTGTTGGCAGGCACAGGCAGCCTCTCTGTGCCCTGGGTAGGTCAGGGCCCCTCTCTTCCTGCAAGCTGAGGGGCTGTGCCAGCAGGAGCAGGAGACCCTGGAGAAGCTTACTGGCCCCTGGGTCTCCGGGGGGACACAAAGCCACCATCATTTCCCTCCAGGCCCGAGTGGAGGAAATAGGTTAATTCTTGGGACTGCAGGTCCTGTACACTCTAGGTTTCCGTTTACTATTCCAGAGAAGTGTGCACTAACAGTCTGTGGACTGCAGTTCTCCACTGGGGCTACGTTCTGAAACCCCTGGGAACCCTGAGATACTACACTAGTTGAATCTTGGCCATCTGCGCAGTGGGATGGAGAACTTCTGGTTTAAGAAATGTTTATGGGAAAACCTTACGTGACATTTCTGCTCCCTTTGGGTCTTGGAACCTCTCTGCTTACCCTTCTGTTGGGCATCTCTTCTCCTTGGAGGTTCTGAGTTCAAGCTTGGCTCAAGGGCCTCGTCCTTTGCTGTGCTTGACCTTGCTATGTACAAGCAGGCACCACAGACACATGCACCTTTCTAGGTGTCCACGAGGAAGAATGTGAACATCCAATTTTCTGCTTATAACTTGTCTCCAGACAGCAGAGGAGGAAACAAAGGATGGGAGGGAAGGAGGGCGTGGACAGCAGTGAGCTCTTGCTCCTGTGGGCCAGGAACACAATCTGACTTCATTTCACTCCTGTAGTGCTGAGCAGCAGGTAGTATTCTCCCCAAATTACACACAAGGAAATGGGATCCCACATCACGCTCCTTCCCAGTTAATAGAGCAGTCATTTAAATGCAGTCTAGTGGAGTTCAGAGAAGGCCAGGCTTCCAAAAGGGAACTCCTGGGAGTGCACACCAACAGGAAGGCAGGTGTACTTGGTACCATGTGTCTGGTGGCAGGTATCCCCCACTGGGCATTTTCCATAAGCCTTGTATGGGTGCTTCAGTTTCTAGCCTCTCCTTCACCCAAAAGATTGCTCTCTCTCTGTATAGACCCAAGGTTTTGAAGCAAGCTGATCACAGAGTACAGACCCAGTCAAGCACTACTTAAGGGGAAGACATCTGCATGAAGTTTCTGTGCAATCATTTCCCATTTTGAATTGAGTCAGCAATGTCAAAGAAAGTTCAGCCTAAGTCATGGTTTTATTTTTTTTTAAACTCTTTTTTTGTCCATTTGTTTGATGCTGGGGTTGAACTCTGAGCCCTGCACATGATAAGCATATACTCAAATTCTGGTTTTAAAAGAAGAAAGCAGTTTAAAGAAAATTCCACGATTATTTCTCACTGACTATTTTCCAGAGCTGCATATGGGTTGCAAGGGCAGCAGTAACTCCTCCAGGTCCACACCCTGGGGCCCAGGTTGTCTCAGGCTCCATAAAGGTTGAGGTTTTAGAGAGTGATGCACATGTGATGCAGTCATGCAGACACCATCCAGCTGCCAGGGCACAGGCACCTGTCACAAGCTGCTCACTGCCCTCCAGCCAGGTGGGCTGAATGCTCACCTGTAGGGACCTGTAAATAGTGCAGGTGAAGTTTTGCCTCCATAGGGGACATAGGGAAACTCACAATTTCAGAACATTCAAGAATAGAGGGCAAGAGGATCTGGCCTACAGGGGTGTCCTCCTCCAGGACACCTGCTGCCGCCGTCCTTCCTCAAGATGCAGGAAGAGGATAAGAGAGGGAAGGCGCTGCTGGAGTGAGGTCCTGCATGGGTAGGGAAGGTGCCTTTCTAAATGTCACTGGGGCAAGGACCCATGGCTTGTCCCCTGCCCAGTCAAGTGCTGAGAAGCCTAAGTCGCATGCTTAGAAATAAGGGCAGAACAGTTTGTCAGTTTTCTTTCTACTGATTTGTCCCTGAAATCAAATACAGCATTTATGGAAGATGAGCAGTTTAAATAACCGTGCCAGAGGATGAACAGTGGAAACGGAAAAGGTGGCTCTCCCCAGCGCTTCAGATCCCTCCTTCACCAGAAAGATCACTCTCTCTCTCTCTGTGTAGACCTGAGGTTTTAAAGCAAGCTGACTACAGAGTACAGGCCACAGCTGACTGCTGGTTATCCAACCCAGTGACAGGTGGCCCGTCAGTGTCCTGGCCAGGACCGCTCCCCGGGTCTGTCTTGACTTAGAAGCTGTGTGGGGTCTGCAGACACAGTCAGGGGCTTTGCTTGTCAGTCTCTGCAGCTGAGCTGCAGTGTGTCACTCTTGTCCTCTTCACCCTGGCTGGCTCCTGTTCAGCATGGGTTAAACCAGTGACAGAACACGCGGAGTGCAGGGAGCTGTGCTCTTCAGCTTCTGACCTGTGTCGCCAACACAGCTCTAAAACCTCACATCAGGCCGTGGACCTGTATAACCGTTTACTTGTACCACAATGCCCACCCCATTTTCCTGTTGGTAGTTGAATAATTGGTAATCATTGCTAGCTCTTATGGAGAGCAGGGAATCTGCCTGTTCTAAGTGCTCTGTCCCCCTTAATTCATTGAATTCTCATAACTGCTCTGTTATTTTCACTATTTCAAAGTTGACTAGTGATTATTATCTTCATTTCAGATTCTAATCTCTTTTTGGTGGCTCAGAGTTAGGTGAGTTTTCTAAGGTCACACAGCAAGTAAGTGGCAGAGTGCTGGCAGCTGGGTCCAGATTCTTCACTCTTAGCCATGAAACTGCGCCTGCCGATTCCCATTTCACATCAGGTTTAATGCCACTTACACCTTGGTGTTAATGTGCCCCTCGTAGAGATGAAGAAAGAAGGCTTAGGGTGGTTATCCAACCCCATGATAGGTAGCCAGTCAGTGGCCTGGCCAGGATTGATCCCTGAGTCGGTCTTGACTTAGAAGCTTTGTTAGTCAACTTTTCACTGTGAAAAAATACCTGAGAGAGACAACTCAAAGGAGGAAAGACTTATTTGGCTCATAATTTCCGAGGTTTTAATACATGGGCAGCTGGTTCCATTGCTCTGGGCCTAAGGTGAGGCAGAACACCGTGGCAGAAGAGCACCGCAGAAGGAAGATGCTCACCTCATGACAGCCAGGAAGCAGGCGGAAGGTGGGGGGCATTGTGAGGAAGGGGCCAGGTCAAGAGGGCCCCACCTCCCACCCCATCGACCACCCCCCAATGCCATTAAATTACGAGCACATAGATTAATCACTTCCCAAAGGCCCTGCTCTGAACACTGCTGCACTAGGGACCCAGCCTTCAACACATGAGCCTTTGGGCTCCAGAACTAAACTGTAACAGAAGCCCAAATCTCAAGTTGTTACAGAAGCCCCTGATCAACGTAGCCTGCAGTCTGGATCCTTTCTCAACCTCATCATTCTGAGGTTGCCTAGGACATTGTCTGTGCTTCTCAAACCCATAATCCTACCCATCTTCAGCCTCCCCATCCAGAGATGGTCTAATTGTCAGCTTACAACAAGGTTTCAGGGGGCTGGTTTTATTTTACATATGGGAAGATCTTTTTATTTGCAGAATTTGTAAAACATGAAATGATCCTCTTGGAAATATCATATGGCCTATGACTCATCATATCCCAATCCTAAAGTTTTGTGTTTTGATGCAAAGTTCTTCAGATATGATGATAAGTGCATTGTGTTGGATGCCAGTTTCCTCTTTCAACATAGATCTACATTTACAAACTCTTTGTTTTTATTTCCCAAATATTTACAACTGTTCTTAATTTACCAACTCATTTCTGGTGGCTTCCTTCCCCACTCATTGAGAAATCATACACTGATTACAGAGAAAATGAAAACTTGGATCATTGAAAAGGTTATTATGTGACCAATAGAAATCCCAAAACCTTTACTAGTAATTACTTTTGTTTTGCAAATATTTGTGTAATTCTTGCTCCCTTTAATCTTGTAATTTTCCAGAAATTTAAAAATAATCTCATGCTACTAAGTTGTTTTGAGATGGTACCTTTTTAAAAAAAGGAGAAGAAAGTGGCCGGAATGTGAAAATGTTGCCCAAGAATTCCCATCAGGCTGTGTTCTAGTCATCTATGAGTCTTGACATCCAAGGAGAGTACAAGGTTCCTTGTGCTCTCCTTAGTGGCTGCTAGATTCCATCTCATAAGTGACCCAATTGAGAAAAGCAGAGGTTGTCCTCAGAGCCTTTTGTTGGGCATAATAAAATGATGTGCCCAGCTTCACTGTGAACAGGAGAAACTGCAGGTGTGGGATGGGCTCCAAGAGTCAGGATTCACTGAAGGAAATGATTAATGTTGAGTATTATGGAGGACCTGCCATGAACCAGGCTTAATACAAGACATTAAAAAGCAATGAGTGTCAGAAAGAGTAAACCAGAAATGAATGAGCTGTTTAATTTGTTGTTGTTTTGGGTTTGGGTTCAGAGACTGAACCCAGGACCACTTTACCACTGAGCCACATCCCCAGCCCTTTTTTATTTTTTCTCACTAAGTTGCTTAGGGCCTCTCTAAGTTGCTGAGGTTGGCTTTAAACTTGTGATCCTCCTGCTTTAGCCTCCCCAGTCACTGGGATTACATGTGTGGGCCACCATGTGCAGCAAATGAATGCATTTTGTTTCCACCAGGATTGGGAGGATAAAGAGTAGTAAGAATGATTGGATGGAATGAGCAGTCAGGATCGGGAGGGAGCAAGCAGCTCCTCACTGAGCTTGGATTTTCGTGTCCCTCTCAGCTAGAACCATGGTATTGTTCCACACATCCAAGAAATAAGCAAACCATTGACATCAACCAAATGCAGGAGTGGGGGATCC